GAGCACATCAAAACGTTACCTACGTTTCTGCCTGCTTTGACGCTGGGCAAGTCTCTTCGTACAGCTAATATCTCATATTCTGTAGCCCTCAGAGTGCTTGAACAGGTGGGTTTTCCTTTAGATCACAATACTTACTATAATATTTGATCTCGCGCTGCTTCTGCTGAGCATACCGAATTTGCTGGCCTTGTTATTGCTCTTGAGGAGGCTGGATTTATCTTCGAATGCCGAATAGAGGAGGAGATTGATTCTCAAACTGATACTATCATCAACAGGCAGTTATAGCAAGTCTGGTTTGCTCATCCTAAGCAAATTCAGTATGCTTAACGCTTTATAGCAGATTGGACTCTATTTGTTGATGGTACCTTTCAAACGAACGCTCTGAATCTTGTACTTATTGTTACTGCTGGTATAACTAACTGTAACTCAACGTTCATAAGCTCATTATCATTCGCTCGCTCAGAATCACAGCTCTCCTTCGACTTCATCTTCGATAGCCTTAAAAAGCACGTTTTTACGCCTCTGATACCTGTACCACGTGTTATTGTGAGTGACCAAGCTGCTGGAATGAGAGCATTAATGCCTATATCTCTTCCAAATACGATTCTCCAGTTCTGTGACTGGTACGCTGTCAAGAATATCGAAAAAAGGCTTACTAATAAGGGTTATCCTAAGGAGATTCGGAAGGAGATGAAGTCGCTGTTATGGACCTTTATCAAAAGCAATACTCATGCTGATTTAGAGGCCAATAGAGCTGAAATCTACTCAAAGTTAAGACCAGACGAAATCAAGTATCTGCGCGACTACTAGGGCCCTAAAGAGAGCAATTTCTACGAGAATCTATACGCGTAAGTATCCGAATTTGGGTGCTCATTCGAATCAACGTTCTGAGAGTCTTCATTCAAGCACTACAGATATCCTCAATAAGCAACTGAGTATGGAGGAGGCTAGTCGTCGACTTAGTAAGACGATACAGTCGAAATTGAAGCAGCTATCTGAGGAGGAGGCTCAAAATGGAGGTAGATTACCCCGTACACTTGATTCGAAAGCATTTGTTCTTCTGGCAGATACTATATCATTTTTCGCTATTTCGAAGATATCTCCTGAATAGGAGGCTACAAAAGAGGGGATCAACAACGGCTCTCTACACCCTACGCCCTTCTGCTCTGAGTGCGAGTTACTTATTCGTTTTAGCCTCCCTTGCAAGCACTATCTTGCGCAGCCGTTCGAAGATGGGGCTCCTATCCCTCGATCCTTAGTACACCCTCGTTGGTGGATTAATAGTGAGCCTATTCGTATCACCAAATGGACACCAACATATCATACTTTTGCCCTACCAACGTCTCCTCCGCGAAATTCTGCTTCCTACTCGCAGCACCCTTATATCTCTCCTAATAGGAATCAGATTACAGGGCTTGGTCTACAAGTCCTTGAGGCTAGGGAGGCTCTTACTGGCTACGCTCGTACGCATTACGATCAAGCAGCTACAAACGCACAGAAAGGCCTTGTTGAATTTGCTGATGAGCTTAAGAAGGATGACCTTCATACTCGAATGCCTGATACTGTTAAGAGGTCAGGATAGAATAGGCAATTCAAGAGTCATGACAGGGTTAATAAGCGGCTTATGACAGGAGCTGAGGCAGCAGAACGTGACGCCAATAATAGAGAGCGAGTCGCTATTCAAGAGGCACGCCAGCAGGCTAATATAGCCCTCAGAGCATCATTTACTGCCGTACCAATACCCCCTGCAGAGCCTCCTCCTCCTCCTC